TCTCCTGATATTGGAAAAATCAAGAAACTTTCCTAATAATAGAGGGAATAATTCATGAAAATTTTATATTTTCTTATTTATATTTTAATTTTTTTAATAATTAAAATACCTTCTAAGGTATTTAATTAATTAAAATTAAATATAAGTTAATTATTTTATTTTTTTTTTAATTTTTTTCTCCTCTTTTCACTGAGTTCTGAGGTTTTTTTATTTAATTTTAATGATTTTTTTTTTTGTTTGAGTTATAAATTTTTAAAGTTTATAAATATTTTTTTTGGATTTAATTAATTCAAAAAGATCCTAACTTCTTACTTAAACACGTCACAGTCGCGTCCGTTCAGTTTGATCACCGCCATCTGTTTCAAATACACGAAAACGGACAAGAATCGTTTATCACCTCCACGGAATAGATAACAAAGAAGTGTCCGCACTCAATCCCTAGGATCTTCTTCACATTCAATCAAATCGCATGGGGTTTGATACTAATAACTTCATATAAGTAAGACAAGTCCATCCATAAGGTTAAGTGAGCATTCATTATTCATTTTTTTCATAAAAGACCAAACTAAGACTAAATTTAAGAGCTTTGAACTCATTAATTGTCCCAAGAGGTGAAGCCTCAATTTGCTTATGTGAAACTTTCCTAATAATAGAGGCTTCAATTAGTTCCAGGGCGACCGTTTCAATTAATTGTCCCAGGGCGACCGTTTCCATTAGTGAAGCCTCAATTTAAGTCCACTAAGCTTCCTCTTGCTTCAAATTGGATTGAACTTGGTCCTCCCTATGAGCTAGACCCAATGGGGCCACGGTCTGGTCTAGAGTTATGGTAGGGGTGTGGGAATGTCTAATTTTGATTGAGGAAGAGATGTTGGGCCTCTGTGAAGCTTTTGAAATGCTTAATTGGGAGTTTTGAAGGGTTTAATGTCAAGGACGTAAACAACACTGGATTTCATTGTTGATATGGAGGCTTGGAAATGGTGGACTGTGGAACTATTTTTGTTGCTGGGAGTTATAGGGGTTTGGAAGGTTGTTTATTCATAAACATTCTATAGAGAGAAAAGAGAACCTCGCAAAAGCACAAGCTTTAATATAAGTGTTTTTGCCACCTTAATTCTCCAAAAATGTTTTTGCAATGATTTTGTAGCTGCTACAGAAAACACCATCTAGCAGTTAACAAATAAATGTATAAAGAACACTTATAGCGCATTCTATAAGTGTTCTTTATACAGTAAACATGGTACAAGCAGAGTAGATAACAAGCAGATCACTTCTCCTTCGCTTACAATGCATATTTGAGGACGAGAAAATATTATGTT